AATAAGAAAAAAAAAAACTTTAAAATTAGGAAGCAGCTTTCAAAGTAGCAACTCTTTATGCTTTGATCTACGTTTAGGGTCCAATAATTTTATTCACAAAAATACAAAAAAGGTCTGAATAACGTAAACTCATAGAATTACATATCTTAGGTTTTCAATACACCTCCTGCAATTTTATGATATAAGAACATTGTTTAGACTGCTGCCACTAAAATAGTCGTCACTTTGAGAAAAGTAATCAGGGTATTAAGTGTGATTTTTACATTATATTTAGGAATGAGGATAAAACATTTTCATTATATGTATTTAAAATATAAATAGGCCTACATCTTTTATAGATACTGGTACTTCATTTTATGGTTTTCAATTAAAATTTAACATAGTACGTTTTACATGCAGTACCTTAACATTAATTAGAAAATACAACCTCAAAAATAGAAATTAGGTCAACAATTTTATTTTTTGTAAGAGTTGCCAACCTCTTTTATCTTACATTTGCCTGTCCACATGGGGCACTGCACAGTGGCAGATCCAGAAGGGGGCAACCGCCCCCCTCGGGCATACATTTATATATTTTTCTGCATGTAATACAGTAGTACATACACATTGCGTAAAATAATTTGTCACACTAACTTTGTACAAAGAAATGGTATAAACTGACATTTTGGAGACTTAGTTTACACAGATTTTTCAGGGAGGTATCCCCAAAACCCCCCAGTTTGCCCCACCCCTTGTGACTGTTCTAGATCCGCCACTGGCACTGCATGCCTAAGGGTGGAATGTATCCAACAAAGCAAGAGGTGAGCCAGTACAGTACAAGGGTGAACTATACTGATAAAAGTAGTGTCAGGTACCAGGTTCCAAACCGAAATCACTTCCTTGGGCCTTAAGTTAGCTGATTATTTTTATGGTATTAATGAGCAAAAGTAGCAAATATTTTGTAGAAACATTTTACGCGGAAATTCACAAATGATACAAACACAAATTTAAGTCTTCATAACGCACAGATCCATTTAACGGGAAATGGTTGTCTTTGATGTCCCATAAATAGGCAATTCTGTTTATTACTAAGACAACTACAAATTACACAAAAAATTAAAAATCATATATCTTATCGGGATAATAATGCAAAACTCACACTTTTCACCTCATTTTATTCTTAGCAAAAATGTAAAAGAAACTGAATGTGTATAAGTTTAATATGTTTTATTTTTGAGAAATTTCTAGAAATATGTTAATTATTTAGAGATTTTTGTATTGAATACTTTATACCTGTTGTATACCTTGTCGAATTTATTTTTATTCACATTGTGTAAAAACCTTTTTGGATATGCTTGCAACATTGAACTATTTTTATTTAGTGTAGCACAAATCACTTTTTAATATGTTTTTCCTTGTATATTTAATAAGGTTACATTCTGTGAGAAAATTAAAAACTGAATGTATTTACTATTTATTGTAAAAAAATTTATCACTTCTCGTTGAACAAATTCAGGAATGACTGAATTATAAATTTAAGCATGAGTTATTGTTATTTTAGCAATGTTAATAGTTACATACTAATGTTGATTGTTATGTATAAACAAATAAATGTAAGTTCAAATTTATTTTGTAGTAATTATATGTTATGCTTTTAAAGCGATAACTCGACATTTATCTCTTAACAACATTCACAGGTAATTCAAAAACGTTTATTTATTTAAAATACACTGCCAATAATAAAATACTCTTCTACTTTACAGATTTAAATTGAATTTAAGAATTAAAATTTATAATTTTACTTGTGAAGTATGTTGTAAAAAATAGAAAATCAACTAAAAAATTGCAGCCATTTCGTTAAGTGCCATAAATGTGTGCCTTATAAGTTAATATATTTTTTTTTAAGTTAGCTACATTAATAATTAAACTGAACTAAACAACCTTCCAATCTCTCTGAATCAAAATGTTCTTCCATCAAACTTTAATTGAACTCAAACCAAATTGTTATTTTTTTACCTTCTATTTAGTCTAATCGTCCAAATACCTGATGAGAATTTGTTCATTGTTCCTCTATGTAATCTATCTGTGCCAATGTAAAATATTTGTATCGATTGTTCTTCCTCAAACTTATTTGTACCTAATTCAATAATGTTAAAAATTTGCATGTAATGCATTGCCCAAAATACTTTCTTTAAGTAGATAACGAGCTTTAGACTAGGCTTAAAATAGGTTTTGAACCTCCATTAGACTAGGATTGTATATAATTGTACAGTTATAATAAGACGTAGTGTCAATTTGTGATTTGAACAACCAAAACAGGGGTTATGTTTAGTAGGGACAGAGTGACAGAGTCAAATAGTAGGGAAGGTGAGATTTTTAAAATTTCCCTTGGTATGGTTTTACATTCCCAGAGGCGAAGACAAGAGAGAAAATCCTATAATTTTGTATAGCAATATAGAGCGTGCTGTATCGAAAACCGATAAAAAAACACTATATGGGGGATGGGGGTAAAAGGAACTAATAGAAATTCCTTGCTTTTACAAATTAAAAAATTAAAATTATTGTCAAAAGTATTATAAATTAAAGATAAATGATCTTTACCATACAATCCAAGATAAATTACATAATAATAAGCAACAAAACTTGCTTTCATTATGAATTATTTAATTTTTTATTTTCATACTAGTAATAAAAAGGTTTTACTGGTCCACAAGTGTAATGAACAGTTATTTTGAGTTAAACTTCAGTCCTCTTACTCTATTCATGACAGAGTAACCAAACATTATGAGGTGAATTAATTACCTGTTAAAGTTTAAAATCTCACCTTCTTTCTGACTCTATTTAGTCCTATTGACTCGCTTTGCACAAAAGACATTAAAATGTCAAGTTGTTACCGGTTATTTGAGCTTTGTACGTTTGTTTTACGCTTGTTACGGATTGAATCCGAATTTTCAAATGTGTGAGACACATGTTGACTCTATTAAATTTTTATATGAAGTGAAAATTGTTTTTATTTTATCCTTGTGTGTATAAGTTGGACAACTTAGATAAAAATTTCCGTATCCAATAGTCAATGATAAAATGCAGAAATGTAAGGTACAGAGAAAACTTGCTTATAGGATGACCGTATGCTTTCAGCCAAGGCAACACTAAATAAACAGGCCGTAATGCTCCTCTGGCGTGACGTCATCCTAGGCGACCGCAATGACGTAATATTTTTGGAAATAATAGACAAATAGATAACATGTATCTGATTAGATGTGCAATTCATAAAGAATCCACCCATGCTGTCAACTTCTACCCAAGGTGGCTAGTTTATTTTGAGTGGTGCTCTTCCCAAACTCTACTACAGACAGTTAACTAATCTTAAGTTCCACACCAAACCTGACTGAAACAGGATTTAAACACTAAACCTACAGTGCAGTTTGCAAATGCCTTAGCCTACTAACTTGGTCACTGATCATACCTGATGATCTTCCAAAATAACAATACTAATAAACTATATTCAGCTAGTTATGGGGGGGGGGGGGGTGTCGTAAATTAAAGTCTCCATTGAGCTACCCTTAAAGCCAAGCAAACCAGTTCAAATCTAAGCAAGACCAACTTCGCGTTCCTTACTTTAAAATTTTCATTTAGCAATAATTGCACTTCATCGACCTTTATTCTAGCTGTTTCTCACCCCTTTGGTTAGTTAGTTTCGAGGATTTAGTTTGTAGTATTCCGAAATTGTGTACAAGAAAATTGACTCTCCTGCAAGTGTAAAATACTTTCTCAACTTTTGTGGTCTTAGTCATCGACCACTATTGAAGTCCCTCGCCAATTGACAGATGTCAATGGAGTCAAGTGTTTGGAGGGAGTTCTGATTTGGTTTTGCACAATGTTTTCCATGGTGTATGTTGACTGCTGTTGTTCATTAGTCTCGTTTAAAGTTGTTACCAAAGTTGGGGGAATTTTGCATGCAGATCGCGATGTGACTGAACGAAAGAGATCATCGACTTAAAAGGGGGGTTTGAATTACAAGACAATCAAGGGCTACTGACAGCCTTAAAAGTCTGTAGAACACTGATCAGCTAGCAAAGTTTCCTCAAATTCTAGCACTGTCTTAATGAAAACTGATGCACACTCACTGCCTGCCACATTGTGCAAATTGTACAGGCTTCTATGAACTCCTATAGCTAGAATAGTAGTGGATGAAGTATGAAACACGACATTATGGTCTTGGTTGATTTGATCTTGGTTGCTTGGCTGCGTCGGGCTTAATGAAGACCTTAATTTACGGACAACGCGAAAAGCCGAACAACCTTCGTATTTACATTTAAATAAACGGTTATCATAAATCTGACACATACTTTCTCCCATTAGCTTGTATATCAGATATTTTATATGTATATATATCAGATTTAAAAAAATAAAAGTTTTATTTTCTTGAAAGAGTTCCGCCCCCCCAGAGCCTTTGGCCCTGGAGCGACTGCTCCACTCGCTCCACGGTCGCTATGCGACCAATTGAAGATTGATTTGTGTTGATTTGTATTGAAGTGAACTTTATGCTGAACAAAACTATACCCATCCCATGTTTGTAAGTTTTATAGTTTTCTTTGAATATCAATTTTTTTAACGTTAAAAAACCAATAAAATCCACTTTTAGGGCATAGTACATGTTTTTCTTGAATGAAAATTTGTATTGTGGTTTTAGGTCTTAATTATTAAAAAATACCAGTACAAAAAAATACCAGTAAAGTATTAAAATAGGCCAGTTACAAAATAACATTTTTTTTTAATTAAAACTTTAGCGATTTCAGTAGCAACTCCCCTTGGAAAAATAATATAAGTTACAATAAATTTGAAATGTAATTTTTGCGGAAATGGGATTTGTACCATTTTGTTCAGAACTATAGGGAGAAAGTAAAAATGGGAAATGTTTAAAGGGTTTTAAGCTAAATACCTCATATTATTTTAAGTTCAGGCATGGATGTCACATACAAACTAGAATGCTGAGGTTTAGTAAAAAAAAATATTTGTAATTACAGAAAAGGCCGCAATGGAAAACCATTTATTTGTTGTCTTGGACGTTTCTTTTGTCTTTCTAAATTATCAAGTTTCTTCTCAATTTCGTTGTTATCTATCGCTTTCTCACCTTTTTTAGTTTGCATATTTTTTATTCCATAATTTGACTTCAAATTAGATCGGCTTTGTTTACTTTTAAATTTTTTACTCTGCTGCTGTTTTCCTTCTTCAACTCTTTTACCCTTGTTATCACCCTGAATTGTTTTCAAAACATCATGGGGAATAGATTCTCCAATTCTCTTTTGTAGGTTGTTTCCATCTGGGATCCTTTTAAAATTCAGTCTAGTGTTACTTTTACCATTCAATTTATTCTGAAGGTCTTTCTTTTTCTTCTCTTCTTCAGAAGTCTTTGACTTCTTCTTTCTGCGCTTTTCTTTAGGATCCATATTTGAAGGCCATGTTTTCTGCAAGAATATGACAAATTTATAAATGTATTTAAGAGACCAACTCAACTACTATAGTTCGGCCGCTTAGAAAGCGACCTCCTCCAGCATTGGTTTAGCATTAGCGCGCAGGTCGTTTTCTAAGCGGCCGAACTATAACTTATCATGAGTATTTATAAATAATTAATTAATTGCAACTATACTGCACTTAAACAATCAAAACCTTACCTTTTCTTTCTTCTTTTTTGTTTTCCCCCCTCCATCCTCTGATGAATCTTTCTTCTTTTTCTTCTTCTTTTTCTTTTTTACCTCTTCGCTTGAAACTTCTGAAGATTCAGACTCCGAGTTGAACGTACCATATTTGTCCATTCTCTCTTCCTATAAAATAAATTGATGTGTTAAAAATTCATATTTTACAACAAATAAAATAACAAAGTTAAAAGAATTATGTTTTGGGCAAGCCTTAGTCAAGTTCAATACAGAAAATTAAACAATAGTTATTTGTGTAAGTAGTGCGCTAAATGGCAATACACTGCATTCCTAAGGAATATTTACGTGGCTCAAACAATACAGTCTCTCGAGTGTAACAATATTACATTACACACAAATTATATAAAAGAAATTGCTTACAGTTAAAATAAACCATAATGTATGATTTTCTGGTCACCTTTCAACTTTTTTATTCACAAAGAGAAAAAGAGTTCATACTTGCATTAATCCTCCCCTCGCTGGATATTAACTGAAGGTTAAATCTTAGTGATTTCTAATTTTGTTGGTAGGTAACTCTAGGATTATTTCTCAATTTGCTAGTAGGTAACACTAGAATAAGTAAATCCTCACCTCGCTAGTAGTGATCCGGTACTTGGGCACGTAAGTGTCGTTGACCTCTACAGTATACATGGGTCCAGAGGGGTCATGGTACAGCTGCGGGGTTATGTTGTACACTTGGTTGGTGTTTACGTTCCTCAACCCTTTCCGTTCATAGTAATATTTGAACTTGAGATCCTCGGAGTTCTCTTTAAACTCTTCTGAGGGCAGTTGGTCAAAATACCCTTGAATCTGAAAAATATTTGTTATTATTACTAGGAAGAGTTTGTCACCTTTGAACAGTATGCTACCTTTCTTTGCTTCATTGCATTTGCAATCTCTGCAAACATCTGCAAAAGTGTAGATAAAAAAGAGAGTAAATGAGTGAAAATTTAAAAACGTACGTTTTCAGGAAAAGCACTTTGCACATTTTTTTCCCCTTTTTTCAAAACTTTTATTATTTTTTTTATTTCATTAACATTTGAAGTTTCATAAAATGTCCATGGTAACGCAATATCTTTGGTAGTTTTTTTTTTAAAGAGCATCTTTAGTGGAAAAACACAAAATCCTGTCACGACCATAACGGATGTTTAAATGAATATTAAAAATAGTTAATATTATTATTATAACTATGTTTTGCTATAAACTAATTTACTTTTATGACCATTATACAATAAAAAGGTCACTGAGATTTTGGTATATTTGGTCTTTCTAGAAAAAAATAAAAAAACTAAAAAAATAGAAAAAAAGCTAATAAAATCTTTTTAAGTTTGTGTAACTCCAAAAAAACTAACCTGAGACCCGAAAAATTGTTATGTTTGTATAGAGGTGTGCTTCTTTTGTGTATAAAACATTGAAATATGACGATATTTTAATTTTTGAAATTTTTATGATAGAAATCATATACGTGATGGTCAGGGACAAGCGGTACGGTCGTGAATTGTCTGGAATAATCTAAATCTTTCCAAACAATCCTTCAATTATACTGTTAGTTATAATAAAACTATGTGTTTCAATTGAACTAGACTGTTCAATTTACAATTATATTAAAGTTATTGTCACGACCAAACACACTATAATCCATAAGGCTGGATTGGTCGTGAAAAAACCCGTGATGGTCGTGAAACTTTGGTCGTGAAATTACGTGTTATTTGGCTCTGTTCAGGCGGTAGCCCTGCACCTCATGTTTGAGGATACAAAGTGGACTTCTAGGTTAATATAGCAATTGAAATATACTATAAACAAAAATTAACACCATGTCTACTTCATCGAATGACTACGTACGGTCATGGACACACCAAAATTACAAAAAACACAATCTTTCCTTTATTAATCTTGTAATTCCTCCTTTCAACTCGAAACGACCGGCACTACAATCCTGATGTACACCCCGAACTATTCTCTAAAACCAACTGACTCCATCGACGCCAGGCTTGCCACTGTCGTGCTCCAAAGTTGAAAATTTTTCCCAAATGGTCGTGACGCCAAATCGAGGGACAGACTTATTTTGTCATGGTAGTCAGTTTGCAATGACAATAAAATTATAATATGCTCCTTTTTTGTAAGTTTAATAACAATTGATGACATAATAATATGGCTTTATATATTTCGGCATGAATAATTAGTCTAAAAACAGCTTGAAAGTTGGAAAATGTACCCTAGGGACACGTCATGGTCGTGAATTTCGAGACTTTAAAAATACGAAAAAAATACCTAGAACCTATTAAAAACCAAATAAATGTGTGTAACATGTTGCCCCCGTCCCAAAAAATATTAAAACGCATAATAATAAACTACAAATCCAGTATCTACGAAGTAAAAGGCTAGGGACATGAAAACGTACGTTTTTAAATTTTCACTCAAATGTCATACTGAATGGAAAATGTTTTCAACAATAGTTATTGGATCGTGCATAATAACATTTCCAAAACTGGATATTATGAGTGTAAAGAACTAATTAAATGAGTGGGATGACAGATTTGTCAGTGAATAAGTTGTTTCTTTATTTAGAACTATTTTACCACTCACTAAAAAACCTCCCCAAAGCTTTTAGAGGAGGGAGTCCTTCAATACAGGATCAGTTCTTTTTGCCCAAGAGAGCTATCATTTTTTGTCTTATATAGATGGGCGAACCTATAGAATAGCTTAAGATTAGTTCCAAACCACTGAGTCAGAGTATTATCAGCTAAGCTATTGGTGATAAACTTGGTTCATCAGTTTTCCCGTGTACAAAAAATGCACTCTAACCACTAGATCAGCGGCACCACTCAAAGCTACCCAAATAAACACACAGAAAAAAAATTAAAACAATACAATTATAACCAAATCTTACCTCGTCTGTCTTCCCTTTCCATTCCGCCAAAACCCTATCCCTCAACTCGGCGGTTGTATAGTTGCCATTCTCACCAGAATCGACGTCTTCATGGTCGATTTCCGATTCCTTCGTTCTACTGTCAACAAACCTTAAAAGTGTCCAACATGTAACAATAATGAACAACACATTCATTACAATTTATTAAGAGGAATCATCACCAATGCCTTATCAGGAGAGAGGTTTATCTCAAGTTTGATCTTGATCAGATTGGATTGTAGAAAGTGTTTCTGTTGGGATTTTCTTGGTTTTGTTGAAGAAAGTCAAAGTATACTTTTACAACTGGTATGACTGGATAGCTGAGTTATTATAGTGCTGCTTAGTAATCTGAAGGTAGACGGTTTTGATCCTAAGAAAAGTCAGTGGCTTTTTGATTGTTGGAGAGTGAACTAAGCTGTTATTTAACATTGGGTTTTTTTTATAAATATTCTTGGCTAAAGATACTGATCCTAGTCAGTAACAAAGCTACAAAATATATCCTACTCACCCCCCTTTAATGTTATTTGTTATTTTGGTTCATATACCCCTTACTCGCCTCCTTGTCCTGCAGTCAATATAGAAAACAAATTATAGAAAAAATTATGAAATACTGTACCGTATGGAATAAAGTGATGCAATAATATGCTTTTAGGTATACAATTTTTGTATTTGCCTGTTTCCAAGTTTTGTTTTTGAATGACTCAACAGATTATCAATTTGATTACTTTAAATTTTACAACTAAAAATAGTATAGTAGCTTTCAAAATTCATAATCACTATTTAAAATAATAGACTATCACCTCAAGTATTAGGTTTAAATAGCATCTTATCCTTATACTTTTTAGTACCAAACAATGCGCTTCTAAGATGTAATGTGCCATAAAGTAAAAGAAGGGAGATGAAAAAGGGAGGGACAGAGGGGTGTAAACTGTACAGTTCACTAGAAATTTTTAAACTAAAACTGCCAAATCAACAAACAGATTCATAACATTGCTGATTTTGGTATCGCCCAAGAAATTTCATAAACAATCTGAAATGATGATCATTATCAAGATTTAATCAATAGTAAGTGATTGTACAAGAAAAACATATTTGACAGTTACGATGGATTAATAAAGGCATCAAGATGTCGTAAAAATGTACACTAACAAACTCTTTTTTTGTGTGGTGTTCATATGTGCATATGTACATTCACAGTCTAACAATATCACAAGTGAGGATAACCCAGAGGGTCAAAAAGGAGAATATGGAGACTACGATACCTACGTGAATGACTATTACGCAGACTATTACTCAATGAATTCAACGGACGGTCCACAAACCGTGGATCATCACAATGTCGCAACGGAAGTGGAATTGACGACACAATCAAGGACTGAGAGTGTTAATAGTATTGAATAGGTAGTAAAAATGTGTTAACTTATTTGAAATCTTAGATGTACCGGTAATTAAAGTAATTGTTTGTGTTTGTACAGTAGCTTGAAATAGTTTTGCACATTTCCTTTATGTGAATAGCTAAGTGGTTAAAAAGCTCACCTCAAAATGATCTTTGTCAGTTATCTGCACAGATAACCTTACATTCTTCACTCATCCTTAATTGATATTCAGCTTTAATAACAAAACTACTTGTAAGTGGCGTGTGTCTCTGTCTTATTAAACAAACTTCACATACTCGAAAAGGTTTTCTTAAAAGGTTGTAGGATAGATCCAGAGGAAATTCAGTAGCTTTTTGATAATTTTGACGTGTCGAAACTGGTCCCAGCTGTTCCTGATCATTGTGCTTTAAATAAAAATTATCCTGGCTTTAATGAAACAGTTGAGTCGGTAACAAAACAATGCTACACAGATTATCACACTCCATTCTACACTAATCCTTCCCTTTTAGAGATAAAATATGCTCAAGACCAATAGATAAAAAAATAATATTTGATGAGATTATAAATGGATACTCTAATATGGGTAAATCAGAGGTAAATTTGAAAGGTAGGTAAGGGGATTCCATAATAAACAATTTTGTTGTACTCCCTAGATTTTTTTTACTACAGTCTATAACGTTGACATCTGAGAAGTGGGGCTAAAAATGTGGAGTTAAACAGATGGTAAATACTGTATGTCTTGTTTTAATAAATCCACAATAATTGATTAATTAAATTAATTAATGTATAATTATTATACATTAATTAATTATACATGTGTCAATTAAGATGGTTTGTTAGATACGGCTCTCAATAACACTGAGATTCACATCACTATAGACGCTAGTAGTACTAAATTTATCCAACAACAATAACTTGTCGACATGACTGTAGCTACAAAATAACAAAAGACAATGCAGAAGGGGGTTATTATGTGCATAGACCCGCTCACCACTCTAATTAAATGATATATAGTTTAAAAAACTTATTTTACCTCTTTTTTGTAAAATACAGCTTGTTAAACGCAGCTATATTAGTGGTGTTGGTTACAAAATAAAAAGGCAAATTTAGACAGAGAGTTAAGCCCCCCATACACGGGTGAGCATGTTTGCGAGCGTGTCCGCCAACAGGGTTGCGAACATGCTCGCCCGTGTATGGGGGGGCTTAAGAGCTGATCAATTTTAGCTTGTTGCCACTATGGCGTGGAAAATAACAAGTAAAATTGAGTACAAAATGCATTTCATAATAATAATTCTACATTTCAAAAATACAAACCGTTGAAAACGCTCTCTTTCGAAAACTGTTGAATGCCAATGAGATTTCTAAATAATTAGAAAAAATGTGGGCCTAATAATTATGTTCAATTTTGTACCGGTAAATATAGCTATTCTGAAAACCCAATTCCTGTAGGTAGAACCCTTCAAAGAAGACATTTAATTTTATTTTAAGAACGTAAAAAACCCTGTCAATCGAGACTTTAAAGTATTTTTGAAAAGATTTGCCAAAATTCAATAACCAACCACCATTATCAATTCACTTGTAGTTTTATTCACAAAAATTTAAGTAACTAGGCCTAGATAGATAAGACAAAGCAGTTCAAATATATATTCCCAATTATTTTAGAACTAGTTTAAAAAAAAAATACACCAAAATTAGAGAGAAGTCTCACAAGTATCTTTCAAATCCCAAATCAAACTGAACGTCTCTAATTCCTACTTTATCAACAAGATTCTTATCAGATGTGAGATCTCAAGATGCTAGTGCGGGTGTGTGCTAGTGTGTGTGTGGCTTTCATATTCTTAAATGTAGTCAGGACAGAATCAGAAGATAAGTCTGACAAATCCTTCAGCGAATTTAAACCTAAAGATGTGGAAACAGGAGAATATCCTGACTATGACAAATACGAGGACATGCCTTCAGACCCGAGTGCAGAGCAGACTCTCTGGCAGAAAATGATGAGAGTAAGTTTGTAACGGTTTTGAATTTTGATACAAGAATACATCCTATTCTCAATTCTCATGCAAAATATTAGCCAGTTTTAGAATGAAAATTAACGTTGAATTCAGGCATCGACAGAGTGTATTCACATTAATTACTGAATTTTGTCAATTACGCCAAATGTTTTACCAAGCAACTTATAGTAAATAGTAGTATTTGATATGTCACATTATCTATTAAGTATCAAAAACTAAAGGAGACATAAGAATTTTTGGATTTTTCTACTGCGTTTCATCATTTTGGACACTAATTTAGGTACAGCTGGTGCATACATATAGGATGTATATTATAACATAAATAAAATGTGGTGAAATAGATGTTCCATCCCAAAGTTGTAGCTTGATTAAGAATAAAAAATTAAGTTGAGGCAAGGGCTCAATACGCTAACGTGTTTCTTATACAACTGTGCCAAATTAAAGGGTAACTTATTGTGAACTTAAATGTTCCCATCTCAGTAAAATTAAACAGTACTTTTTAGAGATGAATTCAACTATTTCCTTTGAGTAAAATTGGCTAAAGCTGGTAAATATAGATGTGATGTCTAATTCAGTGCCCAAAGTCATTATTGGTGATATAATTTATAAATTTTATAGTGTTTTTCTCTGAGTACAACTAGAGCTCAGGCCAAGCCCCCCCCCCCACACTTGCATGTATTGTAGGTAAAAATAGCTTTCTCTGAGATAGAAAGTTCCCCTCACTAAATTTCAATAAATGAAATATTAACAACAAAGTATAAATTACTGTGATGGTCTGAAATTAATATAGAAATATTATTTCGGCTGTCATTATAAAAATACAAATGTGTATTTGTCAAATGAATAAAGTATATATATTTCAGTATTCTTTTTATTATGAAAATTGTACAGAAATATTTTTAAGCTGTTGATTCCTTTCCCACAAACAAATCTGCAGAGGTATTAATTTACGCCTGTGACAAACTTGTTCAAAATTGAAACCAGATTTATTTGTTTTAAGATATAAATATTGAAAAATCCCTTAAATGACAAATCACTTAGGTTAATTATTGATTAGTAATAATTTGAGACCCTGCTATCTGCTTGATAGGGGGAAGCTAAGGATCCAAGGGTTGGAACTTTTGACATCACTTGGGCCCCAAACCGACAAGTTACAAAAATTACGACATCTTCTAAAGTGCAAAGTTCTAAACCACCATGGGCCCAGCATATTCCGAAGGTGTAAAATGTAAGAGAAAGCTTTTAACTTAGTAGGTATTTAACCAAACTATACATTTTGATTAGAAGTAAAATAAAAAAAATTAAAATGTACATAAGGAATAAAAGTCTACCATGTAAAACAAAGAAGATTGTATACTGATAAACTAAGATAGTAATGATCAGATACAATGAAACTAAGTGTTTAAGTGTTACTCTCGTGGTGCTTAAGTAAACAATATGCAGTGTTGAAAATGAGACATATTGAATTGTATTCATTGTATTACTACTGTGATGTTTGTTAGAGTGGTTTTGGTAATATTAACATTGGGATTGATAGGAATTACAAGGTCTCATTTTACTCAACGGACACTAGCGGAAAATTCAACTCAGGTTTATGAAAAGATCGACGGATTTGCTGTTAATTCCGGGCAATACCCGGGGATGGATGAGGATTCCCGAACAATTGACGTTTCTACGTTTTACAAGATGCAAATAGGTTGAGTAGATTTTAACTGCCAAGTAAAAATCACCTCTTAAATTATTTTTTAAAGTTTCAGTAAATGTAAAAAATGTACATAACTTTTATTTAAGACAACCAAAATTAATAAATTTCTATTTAGTTTGGATATCAAAAGTTGTGCCCCAGTATTATAAAAAAGAATAATTTAATAGACTCAGGTCTAACATCGTTAAAGCACAAAAGTAATGAAGGGCACAGAATAAAATAAATACAAATAAAATCACAGATATTGTGTCCTGGAATTTTAGAAATTGACTAGACCAAAAACAACAAACTACTTTTTTCAATTTTTTCACAATTTTTTCATTGCTACAGAAAGTAGCTGTACCGTATATCTATTCAAGACAATGTAAATAAATGGTCATGTCATCACAGGGGCATAATCAAAGCAAGGGATAATAAGTCGATTTTCCCTTGGTCACAATTTTATTTTCCTTATTCCCAAGCAACTTTTAACTATCCAATCCAATCCAAACTCTAATGTTTATTTATAGTATATTTCATTACTAGGGCTGAAAGTGGCATTTTCCAACGCACGCTTGAGTTTCACGTGCGGGGCGAAGCCGAGGACGGGATTAATGGAGCAAGCGCCGGAAAATAGCTTTCGGTACGAGTTATGAACGATACTTTCCATCAGAACACAAAAAAAAAAATACACAAATACAGAACAACACATCTAAGTAGTATTAGTTTTAGACTACTCTTAATCATTGAAAATACACTTCACAACGTACATATTATATGGTTTCATAATTGTAGATTTTTTAGATAAATATATTAATTACCGTAATACTTTGTCACTTACATTGACTTAACATTTTGTAATTTGTATCACCAGCTTCTAAGCTTTCTGTATTCCTCTTCTTATCTTTCCCGTGATTTATCTGGTGGAAGGTGATTAGTTACCTCTGAAGCTGTTTTGATCAAATCATCAGTAATGTTAGACATACTTTGAGCAATTTCAAACATGCACTATGCTAAAAACACAGAAAAAAACAATAGTTACGTGTTTCTGTATAGATTTAGATTGTGCAACAATAAAAACAGCTGATTTAAATCTTTAAAATAAACCTAACAATCACTATCACGCATAGTGGAAAAATGGAGAACTAATTGAGAGAGAGGGAAAGTAAATTTAGAGCGAGGGAAAATCAGCTGATCGTTTTTCCCTCGCTCTAAATTAGAGCTTGGGAAACAGCTACTTTCTTCCAAATCATCTGTTATCGTAAATAGATACTTTCGGTAAGGAATGATGAAAAACTATTTTTGTACCTTCAATACTATTTTGGTCCAAATTCAAAGGAAGTAGACATAAATAGATTTTTGCATTGCCATGATAAGTATTGTTCATAACTAACTTTGTCAAAAGTGCTTTTCTGAGTGATATTTGCTCTTCTTACTTTCCCCATAATTCAAACTCGACCAACGTGCTCGTCTATGCCTTGTACTTCGATCTGTGTGTTTCTCAGCTCAGACCAGGCTCACACATAAACCTCGAGGGCCCCAATAAATGTCCCTTACCTTTTGGTAATTTCAATGAAATATACTTCTTAAATGGGTGAAAGTTAAAACGATCCCCCATCACTTCCGCAAGTGTGATATATTTACTTAATGCAAATTGCTGGTGATTAAACTGAAAAATAGCAAGGTAAGATTAATTTTATTTAATGTTTAAATTAAGTATCTTTCAGGAACCGAAGACAAGAAGACCGACAAAACCGATGACTAAGACAAGGGCAAGAATGATGAAAAGAAGAGCTGTAAGTGAGATTGATTATTTGTATGTATGTAAATTAAATAGAGAAGATTCCAAATACGTATCCTATAAAAAAAGTGTTATAGAAATGTTATAGTCTAGTGATTACAAATATAATTTTTTAGGATAATTTTTCGTATTAGGCCTAGTGATCTTAGTTCAGCAATGAAATCAAAAATGTTAAATGCTAAAAGTAAAACGATAAATAATAAGCTTATACAAATAACAAGGATTGTCAGTAAATTAAGTTCCCTCTAGAGCCCCGGGGTAGTCAAGTCGTTAAAGCGGTGGTGGTAGTTTAAAGCTGAGACCTTTGCCAAATTTTTTACTTCATCTGTTACAATTCTGGCCAGTTTCTTACACTATGAGGCATTTGATCTCGTCAAAGTAGCCTAGTAGCCCAAACCAAGGATTGAGTCCACCAAATATGAATCACGTTCAGTGAGTGATTCCTAAAAGTTGACCCCCTTGCCACAGAAATTTCATTACAGAACCTGACTTATACTTCACAGGAGTTTCGATTTTCTTTCACATTGTTTTAGGCTAATATGACAAGACTAACCGTCCCATAAGGGTGGGTACAAGCTACAATTATGAAGTAAAGAACAAGTGTTAGTCTCTGATTTAAACAAGTTCTCTTGGTCACAACTAACCCTCAAAGACCTTAATTTACAGACAGTCTTTGTAAAATCTTTAAGCCCCTAGATTCGTATTTTAACGAATAAGTTAGTTCCTACGGATAAGTTAACCCTTACGCTCCTTTCACACTATACGATTTCGCTCGTGCGGTTATTAATCGTATTTGTTGTAACGCATTGGAGCTTATGGCCCCTTTCACATTATACGATTACCAACCGTGTACGATTTTCACCCGCGTAGCGACCGTAGGTGCACACGGTTGGTATCCGACTCCCGCACGAGTAAAAATCGTGTCTACTGCTAGTGGCCATGTGACCATATGGCCCCTTTCACACTACACGATTGTAGTCGTGCGGGAGCCCTCCCCAAGTGCAGTTTGTTGCGTATAGTTTTCAGATATTTTGCGTTTACAGTAGTTTAATTGTTTAATTATTGAGTTGAACTACCTGTGCATACCGTATTTTATTATTTAGTTTTTGTTATTAATTACAGTTTTGTCTATATATAGTTAAAATTATGAATGTGATTGATCTTGAAGCTTTAAACGATTCTCTTGAAATCCGAAAATAGTTGAAAAACGTTTCTTCGTCATTTCTCAGGTCTTGAAATAATGTTTTAAACATCCCCACTTCCTCACGTCTCAAATTTAAATACGACTATTATTAAATTTATTTTTCTCCTATAAATTATCAAAGTAGCAATAATTTCCTCGCGATCCATACTACTTAAAACTTTCCACTGAAATGTCAATGAACTCTGTTCTAGTGGAGTGGGGGTTAAGATTTTTTTAATCGTACGATTACAAATCGTACAGTGTGAAAGCAACAGACCCACGATCATCTGCCCGTACGATTAACACTCGTACGAGCGAAATCGTATAGTGTGAAAGGAGCGTTACTGTGCTACAGATATTTTGGGTGGCCTTGACCGTAACACTACATATACATTACAATAATTATGTTTTCCCAAAGGTCAAAGTTGGATTTTTTATAATAATATAACTATAACACCAATATAATAGCGAACACAGCGCAGAATGAAGTTTCTCCTGGAGTCTGTGAGTTAACTATACACTCGGGAGTTAGTCCTTCTACAGTGCTGGCATCCTCATAGCAAAGACCAGTAAGTGTAGCGAGCCGCCATTTTGTACAATCAGAGGGCGGGGAACATTTTTATTGCGATTTTCCATCACGTGAAATGTTCCCTAATAGGTGCATTGGCAAAACTTGGAACTACCAAGACCAGCCAATGCTCTCTGTATTAAAAGGAGAGTATAGTCGTCCATAGCGTTTTGAGCAAAGGGAATTTCGGCAAGTATATCTGTCTAGACAGCAGTAAGGGTTTTTCAAACAAAAAAACACTTTTTAAATCAGCCAAGCATTTCCTTACAACACAACCTTTCAGTATAAAGTTTATGACTTATTAACGTCTGAATTATACCTAGGCATACTTAAAAGCTCGGGCTGAGAGAGAGGCAGAGGAAGCTCGTCTTGAAGCTCTCTACGGAACAACAACCAATGAAGTTATCACACCATCCTCTGAGGAAAGGAAGAATTTCGTCACTGAACGGCCATATGGAGGATGATGTATTTTGATTGACAACCATTGTAAACAATAGGCAACCCATCATTTTTATCCTCGCCCTTTTGTTTCCCAAGTAGCTTCTAAAGTGTTGAAAAGAAGAATTTTGTCAAAAGTGGAGAAAAGTGTAACAAACATGAATAACTCTTGCTCTGCCTCTATAATAAACTGATCTATATAACTATCGGTTCCGTTCTCATTTTTATTCTAGAAATTTCCTAATCAAACTGTAGGTAGAATTAAAAGTTTTGGTAGACAAATTATTTTCCTCCTAGAAATTCACAAAAATTAAAAAAAATTTCATTCTTTTGAACAATATAAGAAAAATACTCATTATTTATTTTTCTAGGTGAAATCTTTTAACTGCTTGGTAGCAAAATCAGGCTGTTCGCCATCCAATCTTAATTCACAAATCGAAACAGATAAAAATCTCTTGAACGTTCAATTTAAAACAAAGTTGAAATTCGGTAAATTAAGTAAAGCTTTACAAGATTAGGTTGACATTTAAAATATAAATGAGGTTAAATGGAGAACTAATTTCCAATAAGCTGTTAAGCTGTTAGGAGTAACCTTGTTAACTTGGATTAATTATTTTTAACATAGCTAATTTTTAAAAGTTTTAATATAAACTAATGATTTCCACTGATAAAGCCTACTCAATGTATAAAGATCATTCAAAATGAAACAAATTACCAACAGAAAAGGGAAGGAAAATCAACAGGTTTAAAGGAAACAAAATTTGAAATAGTCATAACTCGTTTATTCCATTAAAAATGACCTATACATAATATTGAGTCCAAACTTCTGTGATCGTATGCCTATATACAGCACTGTCAGGGACAACATATTTACAGAGAAGCCATCTTAATACTGCAAAACGTAGAGGAAGCAGTAACATTCAGAATAGACTTATGCGACGTCGCCGGATGAAACAACCTCGAAAACAACCGATTATGATAAAAAAGTTTTAAAACTCTAATACATTTCCTTCATACGCATCACAGTACGCGATCCAGTGTTAAATAAAAAATTCTACCTATTCCATTAAAAATATACAACAGTACTGAGCAATTTGGCAAATTAAATGCAAAAATATACAAATTCGAGTGGATTACAATAAAATTCTCAAAAATAAAACTATTACTAGTGTTAATTCACAAATTGGACTATTCCATAGCATTTCAAATGTTTCCAATGTTGATTAAAGCTAAAATTTTCGCACTTATAATTTTCCCATTATAAAATCAACAAATAATTCTATAAGACAATATTTATTTTTAAATTCATTAATTAATATAAAACCTGTAGTAAACGATCTATAAGATAAATAATTCAACACAATAGTATGTTTAAAGATTTACAGTGATAAAAACAATAAATATTACATCTGCAACTTTACCAACTGGACTCTTACGTTTGATCAAGACTAAGTCTTAGGCCTCAACAGATTACAAGGAGATATAGAATCAGAAATTAATAATTTATTGAAATAAATAAAATATCTGTAGCTTCAATTGTAGATCTTAATAGCCTTTTCTAGGTAATTGAATCTGGAGCGTTTAGGTGCTTTGTTGATGTGTTCCAAGCCAAGCCAGGGTTTGGACTGCGTCCCACCTGCAAACAGTGATTACAGCAACTATGAATCCTATTGTAAACTTTGAAGCATGAATTGGTGTCCTGTATAGTTTGAGTATAACAGTATTGACTAAATGTTTCTCATTTTATGATAAATTTCACAATGAGGTCTCATCTGGTGAGTCAGTGGTTCAGTCAGTAGTAGTGATGTGTCAAAACCAAATCTCAAAACCATCAAAACTTGGGAAAAGTTTCGGTTTCGAGATTCGATCACCAAGTTTCGAGATTCAAAAGTTTCGAAATTGAAGATTTTGGCAGTTTTATTTTTGAAACTGCTGACATTTTTTTGTGCCATGGTTATTGTTTTTAACACTGTTTCCAAACAAGCTGGTAGCAACAGAGCAAACATCACCATTAACAGTAATGAAACAAGTAAATTTTATTCTGAACTTCAAAAGGTATCTTAAATACTGTAACTGGTACAATTCAGTTTCACATCAATATTTACTAAACACAAAGAAATATTGACCACTAAATGTTCTAATTAATCTAATGTTCATGTTTATGTTGATGTTAAAAGTTTATTTATTTTTTTATTTATTATTTTTTTTATGAAAAATTATGTTGTATTGGGTTATAAGATTATCAGTCACATTCACATATTTATGTTATGTCACGGTCAGGAGTCCATCTCTTTCAGTTTTGATTTCATACTTAACATTTTATGATCATGTGTATTTTTTGTTACCTTGACCTTTGTAACCAGCTAAGTAAAAAAGTTTCGCGTTTAGGTTTTGAGATTCGAGATTCGGGATTCAATTTTTTAAAGTTTCGGTTTCGGTTTTGAGATTCGAAATTTCTGGTTTTGACCATCACTAGTCAGTAGCGACAAAGACTACAAATAGGCCTACAGTCAGTAGATGTCATTAATTTGTGTCCTGATGATAAACTGATATCCACAAAATTTTATCAATTAAGTTTACTTTTTTGTTGTACTGACTCTCTTCTTGCTTTACTGGATACAAACAGGCCCGATGCCTATGTGGAGAGGCAAATTCAAGGTTAAAAGAGACCACTAAAGCATATATGTAAAAAATGTGTAAAAAAACAACACTTTGGTTATGATGCCAAAGCAGTATTTTACCAGTATTTTAACATTATGTTTCATCTATGGTTGAGTAGAAATAACAAACCTGATGGATTGAAAAAAAATAAATCTTTGTGCAATAATTTAATATCTGGACCAAACACCGTTGCAAGCGACATATTTTGATAAGTTGGATTTTTGAAGAACAATGATGCAAATTACATTCTTTACTGCGTGGAATGTTTAGTTTTTAATGAACAGGTTGGCAGCGCTTACAAATTATTGAATGTGCAGTAAATGTGTTTATGTGTTTTCTGAAAACATCTAGCCTACTTATGATCATTTGCAACATTGTTCGGCAGAGTTCTTCAATTATTTTTCAGATATGTGTATAATGGCCGTACATTTAAAAACAGAAAACTTGCTCACTGACTAATAAGAAACAAATAGGCAGCCCAAAGGTGTTAAAAAGCATTGACAACTAAAGTGGTAAAACAATGAACTTAATGGGGGGTAACAGCTACTAGCAAGTTGTGTCATACAGATAGTGTCACGGTGCGTGGCGCCTCGCTGGAGCATGCGCACTGAGAGCTTTCCCCCACAACGCCTCGATGTACGGTACAGTCACGTTCAAATACTGAAGTTGTGAACTAGCATCAGCTTTGTCAAATTAATTTGCTTTATGTTTACGTTTTTGTATTTTTCTGTCTCTCTCGCACTGCCTCCCCTACACGCCAAGCACGGTGAAACGGTCTGTACCTTGGTTGTAGTGTGGCCTGAAGTCTTGTAGATTGATGCAGAAACTTTCGTGATCATCATTGATAAACTGTGGTCGTCCCAGCGACACGATAGCAAACTTGAACTGTCAAACAAACAAGGTTAGGTAATGTAACTGTTCAAAACACCAAGCGCCAAGCTTGGATTTAATGTACAAGAGATATTGATTTATACAGTACGACCTAGCTAATCCAACCACCGGCATACCATTATTGACAGGATCAGGAGCATGGCCAGAACGCAAAAAAGTCAGATTATTAGGGGAGCTAATTTATTTCCATTAACACTTTGCTAAGCACAACATTACCGTTATACAATATGTTTTGACACATCGCCAACCAAGTTAATACTAGTTAACTTATACCTAGTTAATACTAGTACCAAGTTAATACGACATAAAAAAAACTGTACAGACAGAACTGTGAAAGAATACAAATTCCAAAACTTCATCTAAATGACAAATTTACATTTTTTATCAAACTTTCTGGTAGGCCCTAGAACATGACACAACAACAAAAACAAACATCACACATTATTGATTATTGGTTGAAAGAATTCAGTAATGATGGAATTTTGCTCAGAAAACAACATCTAATCTAGCTGTCGTGTTCCAATATTTTCTGACTCACAAAATTTCCATTGGTGTGGAAGTGTAATCACATTGAGTATGTCAACACACATAAATGCACTCACTCATTAATGTTGTACTAAGTTTATATTTAATTGATCCCTTTACCTATAAAATATACTAATGTGCGGTACAGCAATGGCTCACTGATGCAAAAAAATAGTGACAAGCGACTGACCCGTACAGACATGTCAGGTGCAAAGACCCCTAACCATTTAAACAATAGTCAACAAGTGTGTGGTCAGAAGCGAGGAGTGGGATAATCTGATATCAGATTATTTTGGGGTAACTGGAATTTTTTATTGGCTGTACTACCAGGTTAAAATTGAGTCAATAAGAATAAAATTGTGAATTTACAAGCAGGAAAAATATGGAACTATGAAATTTAAAAACCTGAGCATAAAATATTTCATAAAAAATCTCTAATAAGGTTTTTTTTTTGTATCTTTGATCTGTTGCAATGCAATACTAGTAAATATCAAACATGTTATTCCTTAATAAAGCATCCTAGCACAGGTAATGTTTAAAATTTATCAGCGATGCAATATTATTGAAACTCACCTTTTCAAATTCCTTATCTTGAATCCCTAATTTTTTGGCAATTCTATCCTTGACTTCTGAAAAAGGTTCACCCTGGAAAAAATCAAACATTAACGGTGGCAACATCATTTTTATTTAATAGGGACAGAATACGTTTGCTAACTTAAAAAGCTGAACTGTGTGAACCTTGTAAGTAATTAACAACATACAAAAGGACAATCTTAGCTTTGCAGCTCATATTGTCAATGAAAATTTGTAGAAAACCATCCAAAACCACATTTATCATAGCAAAATGTATAAATAATAGTATGACATGCAGGTTGCTTATTCAAAACATATACAGGGTGAACAACTTAACTGTGCCACCATGTGAAACCATGGTCAATAAATGCCTCTTAAATTATGTTACATAACCTCAAAAAATCCCAAGACAATTTCTTCAGTCTCAGCAAAAGCAGAATTATTTTTCTGGGGGGATTTCTTTGGAAGGTGTTCTTTGAAACGGGCTTTGAAAGAGCGCGCAGTTTGACCTTCAACAGAATATAGCACTAGTCTAAACA